TTTTTAATAAACAAACAAGATACGGCATAGGCGAATTGCGGTAAGCGTTAATTCGAGGTGAAATTTGGCGGCATTGGGAGCGTGCTGAATGATGAGAACGACAACGTGTCAGTTCTGCGTGCAATAGGTGTTCAGGATCTGTGAGAATGAAGCATGAAAAATGGTTAGACGAAAAACACAACAGAACATCGGAAATGTCATAACCATACCATACAATTAATATTTACCTATTGATAATTTGAAGGACTGTTAGGAATATAGTTGAAACGCCGTGTGATAGTGCTCTAGTTTATCCAGAGTAGATTTCGGATGTGATTATTTTTAAGTCATGGAAGAGTGAAATATGGAGGTTGATAGGCTACAGCCAAATAACAAAACATGAAAATTGAGCACTCCCCAAAATATGATCAAAATTGCAATCAAAAGTTTTTGAATACTTTGGAATTTTATACGAGGAAAAAATTCCTCTAAAGGAAAGCTTGAAGTGTAACAGGATGTATGACTTAGGAGAAACATAAATCAGTTCAAACCTCAATAAATCAATGCCCTGTCGACACTGAATAGAACCGCCAGTTTGTATTCTGCGCATTCGTACGGAAATTTGATCAGACTAGAGAAACGGTGACGTGGAAGGCTGAGAAGCGTCTTTTTCAACCACTCAAAATTGTCAACCACGCACATGCATCGGCACCAATATGGTTTAACTCGGGATCCAAGTTGTGTCTCATTAGAACAAATTAAGTGAACTACGAATATAAGTTGAATAAAGTATCTTTAATATTCAGCGAATGATGATTCATCTTGTCATTTCAGGTTTTTCATACTCCAATGAAATGCTATTATTATCAGAATAGAATCAAATCCTCAAGCATTAGCTTGAACTAAAAGCCGATTTGCCTATCAGTTATTAAGCGTCCTTTTTTTCGTAAGTGTTGTCATTTCTGGCAAGAAGTGTTAGAAAAATCATCACCTGGCGACAGTTTTAATTCATGAAGTAACCTTACTCACGTTACCTGTCACCTGTGCCCGTGTATAGATAGTCTGTTCTGTCTGCTGCAATTCAGATTTATGCAAAAAAGGGTTTTCACATCTCTCAACGTGTGTGTATTTGTACAAGACGGCAGACATGAGACAGACATGACATACCTCCGAGCAAATTCATTACCTATTCAAAAGCTGCCCAGCCTGTCGGGGAAAGTGTATTTCTTTGTTCGTGTGCGTGTGCAGCGTCATTTAGCGATGATCAAACAGAATGTGAGGAATCGATCGGTTGGCCTTCTTAACTCAGTGTTGACTTTCAAAACTGTGATCGAAAGTGATCAGTCGGCAGCCCCGAATCGATCTCGCCTGAGCAATGGAACACTACATAAATTCCCTCCGGTTTAATACTCACACAATTGTGGTTTTATTGGAGAATCGATTGATCAAGTGTGGTTGTTAAGACGAAACTTGCAAAGTGATCGGCGGTAACCAGGAACAAAACTTTCGAGGATTGTGTAGTTAAACCAAATTGACGGATTTGGCATAAAATGATCAAGATGTGTGAGGCTGTAAATTGCTTTCTGGGTGATTGAAATGAAAAATCCTGATTGATTGTTTTGCATAATCAGGGTAGAAAACGGGTGCATTCGGGATTTGATTTGTTGAACAGCAATGGGTAAAAAGGGCTGAGTTTGTGTAATTCACAAAAGGGGACAAATGGGTACTGCTTCGTGCCTCCCACATTCTCCTATCTCGGATGAATTGTGTCTGTCACTCGAAACGGATAGCAATTATTCTGCGTGTTTAGTTTGCCTGAATCCATTTCTTATGCGGCATCGTGTAGGATGTTGCTCGTAATAACTTAAAACTTACGCTATTCATTGAAACATATAGCCATGCTGGTACTAGATTATTCCTCTGACCCAGTTTTGTGTAAACCGAACAAGATCCATCATCCATGGGTGAGCGTAATATACGTTTACAAATGAGTGATAAACTGTATTAAAAATGAGTTGTAAGATCAAGCAATACATACGCAAGATGCATGGTTTCATTTCTTATGCCGTTCAACAAACTTGTTGTTGTTGTTGTTAGCGGTGGTGTTGTGTTGATGTTGTTATTGTTGATGTTGATGTTGTTGTTGTTAATGTTGTTGTTGGTGTTGATGTTGTTGTTGGTGGTGTTGATGCTGTTGTTGTTGGTGCTGATGTTGTTCTTCTTGGTGTTGATGTTGTTGTTGTTGGTGGTGTTTTTGTTGTTGGTGTTGATGTTGTTGTTGTTGATGCTGATGTTGTTCTTCTCGGTGTTGATGTTGTTGTTGTTGTTGTTGTTGTTGTTGTTGTTAATGTTGTTGTTGTTGATGTTGTTGGTGTTGATGTTTTTGTTGTTGTTGTTGGTGTTGTTGTTGGTGTTGTTGTTGTTGTTGGTGGTGGTGGTGGTGGTTAATCACGTCACATTTATTCAACGGATTCGTGTGATGAATATCATTGGTTCTTTGTGCAAATAGCAAACCCATGTTCTGAGACCCTAATTCGAATTGGATTGATCAAAATTACCTATAAAAGGTCAGCTGCCCAATATGACATACACGTTCATGGTAACTTCATAGTCAATGGGCTATCAGATTCCTTGATGTAGCATTTTCTTATTTAGTCCCATGTGCATTCTGTGCCCACCATGGCTCCCTCGCTCTATGTGCGCAATCGAGCATTCCCATAAATGAATATCACGCAAAAGTTCAACCCAGTTCTTGGCATTTCAACCAATCGTCTGAGATCACTGCAGAGGAGGCCTGACCGCAATGCACATACACAGAGAGATTTGAAAAACACCTGTTTTACTGCATTTGTTGCTCATATCCCGTCCACCTACGTTTAACGGGATACTTGTATTTTGCAGATGTTCATCTAATTTGATTTAATTCAGTTTCGCCTATTGCGCTTTTGAAACGTGTGATTTGAGGTCGATAGCGGATTGGCTTTACTTAGTCATGAGGCCCAACATCGTCCCAGTTGGTCGGTACAATCCCTAGTGTAAAATGTACGAGTGACGCATAACTGAAACCTGGAAGCAGACAGAGTTCCAAAACAGCGTCAGAGCCATCTAATACCAGGAGTCTACGCTAACCGCGTTTTTGCGCAGAACGTCAGATGTTCTATCCCGCGTCACTTACGCACTACTAAATAAGATACACCGGTTATTCACCCGAACTCAAATTATAATGGTAATAATAAGCGTTGGAGCCCAATCATAGGTTATCAAAAATAACTGTTTGTTAGTCTGGCTTCACGTCACAGATTGGTGCTCATAAGTTTAGAATGACTCAGTTTGTAGTAACTTGGTGGTAGAGGAGATTCTTTTACACTAAATTCTATTTTTGAGGAGAAGAAATGTTTCTAGGTTTTGGTTCCGTTTTCATTCAACTGTTATGTGACATAAATCCTACCAACGGATAGCACGGGTCGGCTGTGGACAGAAAGTTTCCATATGAATTTTGTATTCTTGTGGACATTCAGGGTGAGTCATGTGAATTAGGCCGTAGGGGAATTGTGTTTAATGCGCACATTAGTAAGTTACGGCGAATTAATTTTGGTACCGAGTGCATGGGGTTGGCAAACTGTCAAGGCTCCGAATAATTAACTGTTCAGTAACATGGAAGACTACTTGGGTTCATGAATAGATGGAAGCGAAAATTGAGTTCTATTCTGAAATGAAGGAATATCAGTTTTTGATTTTTAGCAAACTGATTAAGTTTTCGATTTAGAATGTTTCCTAATGGTTGTAATGTGACAGGAGTATAGTGAGATACCCAGTAATAAGCTTGCAAAGATGATTTCGTGTACAAATACAGTGAATTATTCTGTTCAGCTGCCCGTTAAACAAATGGGCACCACTTAAGTGCGATGGAAATATTTGTAATGACCGACCAAGAACACTGAACAGCTGTTTCGCCCTGTTTGGGACTCGTCAGCAGTGCGTACTTTTTGTCTCCGGATTCGAACCGCGATTCTACGGGGTGAGACTTCAAACCCTGGTGCCTGTGAAAATCCAAATGGGCTAATCCAAACATTCACCATCTAAAATGGGCACAATATTTGAAATTCATTTTTTTCAATCACCAAATGGTTTCCAAAATATTCAATCCGATACAGTAGCGACATAAAACCGCATCTCTTTCGGATTAGCGCTTCCTATTAGGTATTTTCTGGAGTTAGGGATGTGTCAATTTTGCGCAGACTCGACTCGTTTTGACTTCATTCTAGATGCGTCTTTACCCTTTCTGCCAACAGGTAGTTATTTTTGTATTAGTTCATTATACAATCCTGGATCTTAGCCTAGGATTGTGTGCCCTAATGTGTGACCTTCCGGAGTAACTGCTTCATTACTCCGACGTGTTGAATAATGTCGCGTTCAGTCGATCAAATGTTTGCTATGGATTATCTTGCCCCGTTGCACATTGTTCCTGTCACACCAGATTTGCAAAAAAACAAACATTCTTGGAGTTTTCCATAGATTTAAAATGCTAAGAATAGTGCGGAAGATAATTTTACAGCGTCAACCTTTTATCTAAGCGTGAGACGTTCCACTGGAGATAATGAACTTTAATGTGTTTATGTCCTAATTGATCACCATGTACAACTCGTAAACTGTTCAAATCGATTTTATCGCAGCCCATAATAATTCAAGAAAACATTCTTTGCCATGGTCTCTTTGTTCATGTGGCCCAAGTAATCGAACTGCGAGTTTGGGTCTCTCGATTAAGGTCACATTAGATTGTGACCCATGACCATTGTTTTGAAAACGTTTACCACGTGGGGAAGGTGATGGGGAACGTGTAAAAGGATCCAAGCTATGGTAATTCCACGTGGATTGGTTAGATAAGTTCAGAGCTGTGTGAAGTACCGAAACGTTCCATGTTGGAAATATCAACTATTGTACGGTGCAATCGATCTGAATCAATTTTCTCTTGATGTGTCAAAGAGTGAAATTGATCTTTCTAAGTTTCGGTAGTGCCTTTTTTATGGCCTAAAGTGATGGTTTCGTGGAATCCAGTACACAATTGGTAATTATGAACAGAAAGCAGCCAGATGAACAAGACAGAATAGTTTTAAATGAGTTCTCTCTCCTTGTACACGTTCACCATCGGCAGGACAAATTCTTTTCAACAAGGCGGTTACAATAATCATACAGATCATATGAGTGGAATGTATTTAAGCAGTCATAACTTCAGTGTTGTTGGGTTGCTGAACATGGTCTTCAGTTGGACTTATCAAATTCGTTTGGAATATCTGGAGACAGGAAATATTCACCAACTGACGTAAGCCATTGCATGTAGTATGACTTGTAGGCGCATTGTATTTACGTGTATGAATGCTAATTTCCATTTCTATTTCTTACACTTGGATATTTAACTCATTATCCGGTAGGACTGTAGAAGGTGATCTTCATTTCTTGACTTCGTAATGTGAATAAACATGTTTAATTAATACAAGGTAAGAGAAACAGACTCACTCATAAACGAGATCAGCACGATTTTACCGTTATGCTGTCGCTGTTACTGTTTCCGTGTGTCCACCTATTGCTCATAATTGCATTATGTGAATATGAATATGTCTACAATACGCATACACGTTAGAGATTATCCTTGGAGAAATTCAGGGGTTAAACATAGCCTTAAGCCAATAAATGTGACCATGAAAGGTCATACCTTCACACCTCGAGAAATGTCCCCCTCAAATCCTACTGAACGCGATTCACAAAAATCAATTGGATTGATTATTATAATAGCCCATAATTGATGACTTTTTCATACGTTGACGATACAGTTATGCAGTTATGAAAGAAGGAAACAAGACGGAGAATCGGGAACAAGAACGACCCTGCCGTACATCAAGGACGTTTCGGAAATGACAGCAAGACTTCTCAGAGCGTATGGAATTCAAGTCGCCCACAAACCGATCGCCTATCTAAGGGGACGTCTGTCAAAACCCAAGGAGGGAACAATGGAGAAGGACAAGAGCAGCGTGATCTACAAAATAAACTGCAAGAACTGTTCAAAACACTATATCAGACAAACTGCGAGAAAACTGTCAACAAGGATCCGTGAACACCAATCGGCAGTCAGGAGGCATGACCCACTATCCTTGATTTCCCTCCACGAAGATCAAGAAGGACATCAATTTGATTTCGAATCAGTGAGAATTATCGACCAAGCCCGGTCAAAACACGCCAGAGAATTTCTCGAGGTCTGGCACTCTTCAATCAACTCAATAAACAGGCACATCGAACTGGATCACGTGTACACGGCAATGCAACTGAAGGACCAAATGACGCAACAAGGGTCACGCCGTGACCTGAGAACGAACGAAAGCCGTAATCGGGACGAAAGGACAACTTCCTCCCCTCCCACCCCCACCCGCTCGCAACAGTTCAACGGCGGACCGAGTCGAACACAGCGAGAACAGGGGACGAAAATAGCCGATGGAGAAGATCGCATATATAAACGAACGGTTACAGACAGAACACTGCCACTTCACAAGCACTGATGATGTCACCTCGGCTGGTGATGAAACGTTTGCAAACAAATTGCCAAGCTCGGCGAACAGGCAAAATGGAATACAGTTATGCAACTTGGGGTCCATTGTGATTTCACAAACATAAATCCTGCATCAAGATTCAATTTTTATTTCTTTTAACTCATCTCCACTGGGCCAAATCCATGTCATCTGTTAGTCGCAGATTACCAATTCGAATCATATCACCTCGGCTAGTGATGAAACGTTTGCAAACAAATTACCATACTCGTCTAACAGGCGAAATGGAATTCGAATCATGTGCGTTGTTCGCTCGTTGAGCTCCAGATTATAAATACTACTAAAGCCAAAAATTAGAGACAGATTTACCGTTTAAAGCCGCTGGAAAAAGATAAATGCACTTTCCTATCCGTGGCTCCATCGGGACGAGTGAATTAAACGAGCAAATCAAGTTGGGAACTGATAAGAGCTGTTTGCAACTAAATAGTTGGACTCTGTTACTAATTTGTGGAGAGACAGTATGTGTAAGGCTTCCGGACAGTCTTTCTGTGTGCTAATGAGATTCCGAGGCATGTAATACATGAAAGAAGGTATGCTATCGTTAAAGTTCTGGGATAGATGCATTTCAAGTTTCCACAGACAGAAAACAACAAAGTCTGAGATATGAACTCTGCGACACTGTTCTGAGCTACTTGACCTCGCCAGTTGAATACACTGGAAGGAGTGAGAAGATGTAATAGCTGGTTTACATGGATTATTTTGTGGATGGCATCGATTGCATTGAGCGATCCGAGTGAAACAGAACAGGTTCACGTGAAATTGTAGATCATTGAGGCACACGAAGAAGAAGATCTGAGTGTTGCGATGAGTTGTGCTGTGCACATTTGAGCATTCTACTACTTAGTCTATCAC